AAACATGTTTTATGTAAAGCAACTTTCTTGGATAAATATGGAAGCTATAGTGTACGGTATGCCTTTTATTTATCATTTTTGTATGCTCGAGTTTATGAGTTCGTGCTGTTTGGCTAATAGTTCGGCAACCAAATTGCAGGTGATGTTCAGCACGGATGGATCTGCCTTTCCTGAAACCTTCTATTTAGGTGCGTAAAATATGAATATGTATATGTATTAAAGGTATCTCAAAAAAAGTAAATAATATTTGGCTGCTGAATACTTCCTTTCTCTGCACTTATTATTAGTTCACATTTCGAACGGATTTTCCTTGTTTTGTAGGAGCAAAGAAATCAAGGGACGTCGTCTTATCTGTTCTACAGGATGCTTGTATTGATGGTGATCTCTCAATTTCTGAGGCTGTTGAAGCTGTGAATGATATGTTTTCACAAAATGCCATGAAATTGTACAAGATTAACCTGATGACAGAGAGTTCCATGCCAAATAATTCAACATTTTCTATTCCTTTGATGAAGACCAACGTCGTGCAAGAAGATGCCAAGCTTGTTCGAATTATTTGGGTGGATGCTTCAGGACAACGGAGATGCCGTGTGAGATTTCTTTCCATATATGTGTGCGTGCGTGTTATTTCTTGACATATTCGACCTCAAAGTACATTTTTTTCTAAGCTTTTTGGGGAACACAGAAGTTAATAATAGGAGGCCCATTGTTTTACTCATTTTGGTTTATGTGATTTATGTTCTAATCACTCCAGGCTGTTCCCTTTAAGCGGTTCAATGACGTCGTTACAAAGAATGGGGTTGGGTTAGCTTGTGCCGCTATGGCAATGTGCTCTTATGCTGATTGTCCAGCTGATGGGAGTAATCTTACTGGTGTGGGTGAGATCAGACTGCTACCAGATTTATCAACCAAATGGACAGTTCCTTGGTATGAAGCTTGCTGAATGTTTTCGTTATCGTTTTTTTTGTGTCACGATTTTATCGTTCAATTCTTCTACCTATATATATATATATATATATATATATATATATACACACACACACTAACCTTTTGGGCATACTGACTACATGTGGCTGCTAAGCTACTAATTAGAGTCTAGTTCATAGCATGTTTATCCGATAATATGTAAAGAGCAAGAACACAACCAATACGCTTTTTAATTGATATCACTTCTGGTTCAACCTTTTCCATTGATTTCTTCAACAGGAACAAGCAGGAGGAGATGGTTTTGGGTGACATGTATCTTAGACCCGGTGAAGCCTGGGAATACTGTCCAAGGGAAGCCTTGCGTAGGGTCTGTAGAATTCTGAAAGACGAATTCGACCTGGTACGAAAGATTGTTCAAGACGTTTGAATTGATGATCTAGAAAATATTTACTCTGTTAAATGTGTTATGTCCAGGTAATGAACGCAGGCTTCGAAACCGAGTTTTTCCTATTGAAAAAGGCAGTTAGGTAGGGATATACAATTCTATATGGCCTTAACTTTTTGAATTTTGCAATTTTCCAATTGCCATTTCTCTATTTGATTGACTTTTGTAGAGATGGAAAAGAAGATTGGGTGCCATTTGATTCAGCACCGTATTGTTCGTCATCGTCGTTTGATGCTGCCTCTCCTTTTCTTCATGATGTAGTTGCTTCCTTGAACTCGTTGAATATTACTGTGGAACAGGTATGAAAAAAATGTCCCATTCTAGCAGTTACATTTCTGGATTAGCAGCATCATTAAAAGAAAAATTAATGATAATCTTGTAGGTGCATGCAGAAGCTGGGAAAGGTCAATTTGAGTTTGCTTTGGGGCATACTGTTTGTCTCAATGCCGCTGACAACTTAGTTTACACGCGTGAAGTGATTAGGGCTACTGCCAGGAAGCATGGACTGTTAGCAACATTTATGCCCAAGTATGTTTTAGGATTCAATCGAGTAAATTAGCAGTTGAGTAGAATGAGACCAACAATTTTGTACAGGTTCAACGAGTTTATGCTAATGTTTGGGAGGTAATACCATGACTTCTTATCATTGATTAGGTACGCACTGGATGACATTGGTTCTGGCTCCCACGTGCATGTCAGCTTGTGGAAGAATGGTGAAAATGTTTTCATGGCGTCTGATGGTTCTTCTGAACATGGAATTTCAGCTATTGGGGAAAAGTTCATGGCTGGGGTTTTACATCATATTTCAGCAATTTTGGCATTTACAGCTCCAGTTCCGAACAGGTGAATACCCTGTTCTTGGGTGTGCAATTTATTGGCCGGTTGATTATTTACATTTTTTTTTCAAAGTATCTGTTCCCTTCTCTCCCAATCATGCATAGTTTCGGGTAGAAAACTGATATCTTGTAACGGCCCAATCTCTCCGCTAGCAAGATATTGTTCTTTTTGGACTTTTCTTATCGGGCTTCCCTTCAAGATTTTTAAAAAGCATCAGGAATATTGTCCTCTTTGGGTTTTCCCCTTGTGACTTCCCCTTGAGATTTTTAAAACACAGAGACGTTTCCATACCGTTATAAAGAATGCTTCGTTCTTCTCCCAAACACCAATGTGGGATATCACAATCCACTCCCTTCGGGGCCAGCATCCTCGCTGGCACTCGTTACCTTCTCCAATCGATGTGGGACCCCCCCAATCCACCCCCTTTGGGGCAAACCTCCTTGCTGACACACAGCCTCATGTCCACTCCCCTTTGGGGCTCAGGCTCCTCACTAGAACATCACCCGGTGCCTGACTATGATACCATTTGTAACGGTCCAAGTTCACCGCTAGCAAATATTGTCTTCTTTGAGCTTTCCCTTTCGAGCTTCCCCTCAAGGTTTTTAAAACGTGTTTGCTAGGGAGAATAACTTATCACCCTTGTAAAGAATGATTCGTTATTCTTCCCAACCGACCGACGTGGGATATCACATATTTGAATTCTAATGAATCAAATTATCAAATAACATAATCGTTGCTTCTCATTTGAGGTAATGTGGCAACCTGTTTGCTTGTAGTTATGATCGTATACAACCCAATACATGGAGTGGCGCCTATCAATGTTGGGGAAAAGAAAACAGAGAATCTCCACTTAGAACTGCTTGTCCACCTGGGATTTCGGATGGTTTAGTGAGTAACTTCGAGATCAAAGCGTTTGATGGTTGTGCAAATCCGCACTTGGGTGTAGCCGCTATCGTTTCTGCTGGAATAGATGGCCTTCGGAACAATCTTCAGTTGCCTGAACCAGTTGGTAAGTGCACTGTGCAAATCCTCCCTCGAGAAGTTCTATGTTGTACTCTAATAACAACCTGCGTCCTATGGTAAACAGATACAAATCCTGATAGCCTGAGTTCAAAGCTCCAAAGGTTGCCCCAATCGCTTTCTGAATCTTTGGAGGCTCTGGAAAAGAACAATATCTTGACAGATTTTATAGGCGAAAAGTTGGTGGTTGCCATAAAAGCAATTCGCAAGGTATGTATGCAATTTGACTTTCACCGCTTATCTCGTGGTATTGTTATGATTCTTGTGATCAGTTCTGCGTGTTGTAGGCCTTAAATATAATCATAACCAAATATTTTATCCTATATGCTTCCATGCCCTTGCTGTTCAAGTTCACTGTTGAATGTTTAGGATGTTTCATTTGTCGGCAAAGTTAAGCAGAAGTGTCCTTAGGCAGTAATTACGGAGCTGTTTTAGATAGGCCGGTGATGTAATTATTCACTTTGTTAAATAAGAATAAATTTCAGTCGATAGATAACAGTCCAATGGCCGGTTGAATTGGTTAAGTGTTTAAAATACATTTTCTATCACTTAAAACACATTTTAAACATTTAGAAATTCGATCCAAATAGATCTCAAGAAAGGGTTTTCTCATCACAAATTATAATCCATAAAACAATTACCATTGCAGGCAGAAGTGGAGTACTACTCAAAGCATCAGGATGCGTACAAGGAACTTATACATCGCTATTAAGGACCGACTCACGCCAACACCTTTCAGATTTACAATCTTGGTGTTATACATCAAGATTGTAATCCATCAAATAGATCTCAAGAAAGGGTTCTCTCATCACAAATTATAATCCATAAAACAATTATCATTGCAGGCACAAATTATAATCCATCAAATCTTGGTGCTATGGATTACAACCTTTGAGATTTACAATCTTGGTGTTAATGATATCTTTCTGAAGATTTGTGTTACAAGGTCTTGATTGCTTTCCTTCCACTTGTATTACTAAACCGTTTATCTTTCGTCAATAAGGAACATCTCTAGAATGACTGTTGTTGAAATATTATATCACTTAAAAAGTCATTTATCTAAATGTGTGTGCGCATTTGGTGAATAAAGGGGATGAAAGTTCAATATGCTTCCTTCATTATATAAATCTTATTTATTCACTTCAAGTAAAATTTCACTTTAAAATTACAAAAACGATAGAAATCAGGTGCGATTAATGATAAGTAATTGAAACATTTTCATCTCAAAATTGATTTTTAAAAAATAATGAAACACATTTCAATCTCTTCCAATGTCTATGAACATGCATTGTTAAAAGTAATTTCAAAAGATTTAGATAAATCATTTTCTTAAAACCATTTAACTCATAAAAGAATCTATACATTTTAAATAAATAGTTTTATCGATTATTCAATGTTGTCAAACAGAGTAGTAAATTAAATAATAATATTCAAACTTTGCCAATATGGTTGAAATTACATTTTATTCTTTTACCCTATTTTTAAAATAGCTTAAATAAAGTCTTCGAAGTCAAATGAAATAGCTTGAAGTGGTAAACAAACCTGGAAGCCAACAGTGGCTTGTAACGCCATAACATATAGAATTCTGGTGGTGAGAACCACCCAAAACCTGCACGGAAAATCAGTGTTGCAACAGAAACTTTGCTTTAGCAGTTTCTCTAAACCAGAAAAACGAGTCTCGGGCTAACTAAAATCGACTCCCACCGACCAATATGCACTCCTAATTGAGAGAATTTTGGTCGTTCGCTAGCAAATTGTCCAAGTATAAAAGAGCTATGTAAGCACTTCCAATATTCCCTCAATAAATGAAAGTAAAAATAAAATTCCACAACTAACTCACCTACATGTAACTTAAACAGCATTTCTAGGTAAACATAATAACATTATAACAAAATTGCAGAGAATTTCTTGCTCTTATAATAGTAAGATCAAGATTGTGAAGGGATATCTTACAAACTCTCCTCAATGCCTATTTTGTGCTGATTAGGGGTATGCGTACGGCCATTTCAGCCTCCTTGCAGAATTCACCTCTACAATGCTGCTGTCCATCGATCTTGGTGAGCGATCATCTTACAATCTTCCGTATCTTCCTGCAGAACAGCACCCACTCTACACAAAGTGCCGAAGTAACAGGTAGGAGCCAACTTATACCCAAGCAAGTGGGACAGTGGATTTACTTGTTCTTTTTATTTCTCTTTCCTCGTCTTATATCTGTCCTCATCTCCAAACGCTTTGAATTTTGGGAACGAATTTCTTGCAGCTTCAATTTAGCGTCTTGAAATAGTGCGTCAGATCTCATGGCCATTAGTTGCTGAAATGAACAAAAGAAATAAATTATTCAAAATGCCTAATCATGGCAAACAATTGCAGAAGGATATGAAACTGAAACACAAACCTTGAGATGATCCATCGCTGCTAAGTTGAAACCAATGGTGTCTTTGCATTCCTATGACATTAGACATTCATCTTGTCAACGAAGCGCATATTTTTCTAATTCAACAATATCGTGCAAAAACATGCTAAATTGTATGATAATTAAATACTACAGAAACTTGGGGATCATGAGCGTTTCGAGTCCTCTTCTAGTGTTCACTCTTCTAAACTTCCTTTCGTGATTTATTCTCCTCTCACGATTAGCCATTTTAGTAAAATTTATTCTCCTTTCACTCTTCTAAATTTTTCTTGCGGAAAGAATGGTACAAATCACTAGCCATAAGTGAGTATAATAGTTGTCGAGAAGAAGCCCCGACCTCGGAGTAATACTTATGGTCCATTCCTGATTCAAAATTGGGTCTCATATCAAGAATCAAAAAAGTGATCCTTCCTGACAAGATGCCTCTAAAATAGTAATATCGGTAGTGCAGAACCATACTAGAATATTTACATAACGTTACTCTGGAAATGTCAGATGAGACCATAAAAAATGAGAAAATTAGAGGGAAAAAGCATGTATAAAATATTAAAAATCGCAGGAGTACCTTGATTCTAGCGTAAAGAATGTCTCTTAAAATAGTCAACGCAGGTCTTGCAGCAGGGGTAGTAACAAGCTGATTGTGGTGTGTCTGCAACAAAACTGTAGATATCCTGCAAATGAGCTCAACCTGCAGATAACACATAAACAAACACAAGGGGACTTTAAAAAGAATTATGAAGACATTCTTTAAAAAAAACTCATTTTTATGATAAATAAAGTCGATAAACTTCAACCAACAATATTAAATTCCAATCAAATGAAGCAACAAGATAAATGCAATAAGTACAATAAGAATGTGCTATAAGGTCGGACTAACATAACAGTAAGCTATTGTTTGTAAGAAACCAAATCATCAATACATATGAGACTAATCTAACTGTAGCTAGGAGTCTAGGACTACCTTGTCGGGTTTGGAAGTCCAATCTTTCAAGTAAGATAGAAGCTTCAGAGAATCAGAGAATGGTAAAGCCTGCAGAGAAACAAAATGGCAATCCGGCTTTCAGTATTGAATACCCAAATTCGAGATTGAAACTAGAAATTGCAACCTCTCAAAGACAAACAATAAATACAGGCACCAAGAAAATCTCTGGCCCATTCTAGAAAACCTTTCAACATGCAAAAGAAACCCAAAGAAATAAGCAAAAAAATGTGTACTACAAATACTCAGTCAAGCTTAGCAAGAGCGCAAGCTTAAGAGTTTGACATAACTTATAGGCTTGAGTACGAATCTAAATCACCCATGTATTTATAAGATGAGATAACACAGGATATTTCAAGCAAAATAGCAATGCAGTTCTATCAACAAGAACTAGCATTTATCTGCCAAGCCTAGAAATTTGCATGAATGAAACTGAGCCACACTTGATTCATATCGTCCCAATAGAGCATAAGCATAAGAGTTTTGCATAAATTATAGGTTTGTATACGAATATAAATCACCCGCAAATTTATAAGATGAGGTAACACACGATATTTCAAGTCAAATAGCAATGCAGTTCTATCAACAAGAACTAGCATTGATCTGCCAAGCCTAGAAATTTGCGTGAATGAAACTGAACACTTGATTCATATCGTACCAATAATGTCTGCTCTAAATCATTTGTGTGAACATTTGAAAGGGCTCGGAGAACGTAATCAGATGGTGAGAGGCCAAGCATCATAGCATTTGGCTCAAAATGAACAGCTTTCCCATTTCTCTTCTCCTCCTAAGCACAAAACATTAAATCAATTTTTTTTATAATATACAAAACATTAAATCATAAACTTGAATAAAGTAAAAATGATGAAACTTGTTAAAAGTTCACAGACCTCATTTTCAGCCATACGCTTGCTTTCTGCCTCTGCCATGTCCAGAGAATCTATAATTAAGTCTGTAGCCGAAATAGTTTCTTGAGTCTTTTTCCCAGCCAAAGCAACTGCACCCTCCTCTGGAACTTCTTCACTGGGAACAAACCTGTTCTCAAATGCATTGTCAAGGTCAGACTCAAACATTTCTTCCAGCCGCTTTTCTTTCTCTTCCTGAAATGTAAAGAAGAATCTACCGTATTGAGAATTTGTCCATTCTGGTTATTATAAGATTATATTGAACAACATTAATGGAATATCGTTCGTCAATATAATGTCATCTGATACTTTGGAAGAAACAAATGACTGCACCTCTATGAAAAATGGTTCTTCAGTTCGATCCCAACGACGTATGGATCGATCATGAGATCCTGTGACTATGAAATCACCACGGTTGCTGATAGCAAGACACCAAACATCAGCATGATGCCCCTCAAGCGTTAAAAGTAACTCAAATTTGTCAGCATCCCAATACTTTACAAGACGGTCCTTTCCAACACTGAACACATAGTGAGTTTTCTTCACAAACTGAACAGCCATGACACTGAAACAAGAAAATTGCAATCAGTAATCGTTCAGCAACATTTTAAAATATAAAGACATCTTATACTGCATGCATCACCTATCAGAATGAGCAAAAATAGACTTGTGACAATCACCAAAGTCCAAACCCCAAATCTTCAAATTTTTGTCTGCAGAGCCAGTCACTAACAAATCTCCATCTGACGAGACATCCATGCACAGAACAGGTAGCTTGTGACCAAATAAAGTACGGAAAACTTTGAAGGTATCCATAAAGAAGACCTAGAATCAAAAGAATGCAGGCATTCAAAAAACATTATCAACAGACTTGAAGCAATAATATAGAAATACGTTTGGTATTATTTTATAAGAGTGTGATAGAAATACTATTAAAAAAAATGAAGATCCGTTTCAGTGAAAGTGAGGCTATAAGAATTATGACTTGTCTCTTAATACAAATCCAAATACTCAAAAAATTTGGAAAGTGAGATGTTTGACTCAAGCTCTAATAGTGTGTGCTCCTTAGGTACCTACCACAGTACCCCAGCTCGGTCAAGGAAAGCCTTGTTAGGGAAGTCCAGATTACTTAAAAATAAGTGGTACAAAGTCATTAACAATGCCACATGACAAGGGACGACTTGATTTGTATTACTAAAAAGTGAACAAAGGCTAGGGAGAAGAAAATTAAGAGTCACTTCACTCCACTTGAACTCAAACTCTATCAAAAGCAATACTCAAGAAGCTGATACAAACGCACAACAGTAGCTTGTTATGAAACTAGAGATTTTTATATGCTCGTAATCAACCATAATAGCAAAAATAAAAAATGTAAAAATTTAATATGAGAAGGAAAACTACACCTTCACTGTGGAATCCAACAGTGCTGCAGCAATATATTTGGCATCAGGACTAACAGCAGCAACAAGAACATCATCATTCATCTTCATACTCCTCACAAACGTTATAGAAAGGGTTTTAGGCTCCTGTAAATCAGATTACAACATTGGACCATCACAACGTTTGAAAAGGCCCAGATTCTAAAGACTAAAAACCAAAATTAAATTGAATCTATACATACAGTAGAAACAAATTACAAGAAAATTGTGAAAAGACATCAGATTTATAAATGCAAATATGAAACTTCCTAAATGCTTCAAATAGTTCATCCACACAAATAATTAAACCAAATGTCGGAGTTCTACTAAACCCAAATATAAAGCTAAAATGAATTCTTAAAGAAAATAAAAATATCTGCGAAAGGACTATTTCATGAATATTCCATTCAAAAGCATCTACTCTGGAATCCGTAATCTAAAGATTCAGACAGAGACATGGTTCCGAATTGAAAAGTTATTAAATCAATATAAAATGCAAAAGCATGCCGAGCAAAAATTGGATTCTTCATCAACTACAAGCTATATAGAAGGTGACATCTCAGAGTTGTAATTGCGCACTACACTACTTCGGGGACAAGACCCATCTTATTTGAATAAAACAAGTTTTCATTTTATCACAAAAAAAAAAAATAATAATAATAATCCTAATTATAAGAAGTTTCTTAAAGTCAAAAAGGAAAAATATGGAGATCATGATGAGATGAAGAAAGAATGAGAACATACTTGATCCGATTTTTTTTCAATATGATACTCCCAAAACTTAATGTCATGGTCAGCGCTAGCAGTGACAAATCCATTTTCATTTGGTAAACCCACAATTGACCGTATTGCGCCACCATGAGCTTCTACAACTTCGATGCAACTGCCACTTGCAATGTCCAAAATTTCTATAGCCCCACTTTTGTTTCCAACAATTGCATACTTGTTTTGAGGAATTATTAAACCACAAAGCCCGTATCCAGAATCAATAGTACGAAGACAAGAACCAGTACTTGGATTCCAAATTTTTACAGCATTGTGACTAGTGGACATCAAAAGAGAATTATCGGAACTAAGTGTTACACTTCTGACATCCGAACGGTGCCCCAGGAGTTCAATAGAATGTAATTTCGTAACTGCGCTGCTTTCAACTGAATAAAACTCTAATAAATTATTGTTCAAAGATAATGCTAATGTGGACAGCGATTTTTTTGGAATTGGACAGAAAGAAATGGAACAAATTTTCTTGCTAGCCCGAATTGTGTGGAGTAGCTTAAATACGTCAGGAACTGTAATAATGGAGCCACTTCCTTCTTCTCCAGTAGCATGATTTGTCTCGCCATTTTCAATTACATCCGGTTCTCCCTTTCCAGCTTTCTTTTCTTTCTTCCGCTTAATACGACGTTTTGCTTTATGCTTGGCTTCAGTTTCGTCCAAAACATTGAATAACTCAACAGTCTTTCCTGCCACTTGACAGGCCAACAAATTTCCAGACTTGTTAAATCTCACAGTAGCAACTCTATCCTTACTTTGTCGCATAATTTCACCAAACAGTTTTAGAACTTCCCATTTGCTTTGAGTGGATTTATCTCTATCCTTCTCGGAACCATTTGCATTAGATTCATCGACAGACTTACCAGCCACCAAATCATGTTTAGTTGTGAAAAAACGAAGTTCCTGATCAGCAGATCCAGTAACTAAAAACCGCTCATCTGGATCAATGTCCATTGACCAAATTTCACTATGATGCCCACCAACTATTTGCATACAGTGCTGTGTTTCAAGATTCCACACCCTTAAAAACTTGTCTTTGGAAGAACTGACGAGTTTTTTACTTGAATCTAGAAATATTAGATCAGTTACCTGCATAAAGAATAAAGAGAAGGCATTAATGGACAAAAAAATAGCTATGAAAATGACAGGCCTCCTATATGATTTACACATGCAAGAAGGAAGCTATCAACTGGATTGGGCCTTAAAAAGGGGGAAGGAGGGAATCCTTCGACAGGGCAACTATGTAGTTTACATACACTAATCAACTACATTAGACACAACCCAACTTGAACAAGATATGTTCTAGAAGTTGTACAACTGTGCCCTTGAGTTCTATGGAAGAATCTAAATCAACTAAATTGGACCTGAATTGAGTGAAAGGAAGAGGCCAAGTATCTTGAGTTGAGTCGTTTAGAAATTTAAACAAATGTTTTTGGATGAGTTGTATGGCACCTTAAATTTTTTAATAACGTGGGCACAATAAATCAAATGAAAGGTTTAAAATATTTTCCATTTTGTTAGGAGAAAACTCCACTGGATGGAAAAGGGGAAGCAGTGAAAGACTTGAGAATACGGAGATCAAAATGCAATAATTGTGAACCTGATCACGATGGCCACGGAGGCGAAAGAGGCCTGTCTCGCCAACAGCATCCCACAGTATAATATCGTTATCTTTGCTTCCAGATGCAAGCATAGAACCAAGCTTGTTGTACCTAAGGACGGTAACGGCCCCTTTATGTCCATGTAAAGTAGTCTCACAGGTTCCTTTATCAGCATTCCAAATTCTTATACTACCATCAGCATACCCACTCGCGATCTGTAATAATAATAAATAATAATAATATTGAATGGTAATTCAATTTCCCATTATATAAATTCAGGCAGCGGAAAGTGCTAATTTGTTTATAAATGGCACCAAACCTCCAGCCAGTTCTTACTAATTTTAACCTGCGTAGCGAGAATATGCATAACAGTAAACGAATTTCAGGTCCCACGTGTGTTTTCAATTTTTTAATTCGACAAAGCAATCCGTGCTTCCAAATATTCGTGCATACAGAAACTCGAATAATGATGAGGATGAAATCTAATAAAATTAATTAATTATTTTCTTGAAGACATTTTCACTATAACTGACGATGAAACTTTCGACTGAAGAAATCTCCGCGGTCTCGCTAGCGGGAAGAACTTATATATCAACAGTTTTCTGAAATCATTTGAACTATAACAATTCAGAGTATTGACATCATCCTTGACTCCATGTTCAGTAGTAGCAATCTCAAACTCTGGAACTCTAAATAAATTTCTCCATTAGAAAAATGACTTACCAGAAAAGATGGAGCCGAGGCGACGGCCGTAACAGCAAGAGAAGGACCACGAGAGCCCTGAGTAGGTATTAAATTCTTGGTGCAGACACCTTGACGAACATTCCAGACTCCAATCTTTTCAAGAGCTGGAGCTATGAGATGCTTTCCGGAACTATCGTATGTAATATTGGAATCAATGGAGACGATCACTCCGAAAGCCGCCGCAGGCTCGTATCGGAGGTAAGCCTTCACCATGGAGAGGCGTGGAAGACTGAGTGTGGAGCTTACCACGAGAAGCTGCAGAAGAACACGGAAGCAGTCTTACGGCTACGAGAGTGGCGTGCCGGCGTGCGAATGCAGCAGAGCTATAGGAGGGCGAGATGGGGGCGACGGCGCGCGGCTGCAGGGGGGAGAACAAAGAAAAGGGTGGAGGTTTTAGAAAAGGAGGAAGGATTTGGAGGGTTTTACCTTTTAGACGTTTTAATTTTATGCCTACTAAAAATTTATATTTTATATTTAATAAATCAATTTTATTAAATATAGATATGAAAATTAGTAAATTAGACACAAATTTAAAAGGGATTAGTTTATAATTTAACTATTTTTATTTTACATGAAAAGATTAATTGGGTTGATTTATAAGCTCGAATAAATCATTAAATTTTAAAAAAAAAATATTTTTATAAATGTTAAAAAAGAACGTGATTTTAATTATTCCCCATCCGCCTCGATTAAATCATCCAACCCAGCAAATAAGAAATAACAGTAGTAAATGGGCCTGAGTCCACTTTAACGGTTCTGTAGGCCGGAGCCCATTTCAGCAGTTTTCTATTGGGCCGCCCAAGCGTCTCCATTGCCTTGCAACTCAGTCCGAAAATAATCACGCGATTTAATTACGTCATCCTCAGAATTAGCACACTTTTTTTTAATTAGATTAATCCACTGAGAGTTACATGGTTTATTTAAAATAAATTCATTAAAAAAAAAAAAATAAGCAATTAAACTATATATAAATTCGTAAAATTCAAATGTCTTTTATTTAAAATAAATAGAAGTTACATGGTTGGAGAACTTCTACTCTCTACTGGCCACAGAGAGTGGCCGGTGGCGACCAAGACGGCCGGCCGGCTGTATGTGTCAAATACACTCGGCTTGTCCCACATCGGCTAAACGGTCCAAACAACTGCACGAGATGAATATTTAAAAGCGACGCTTCCTCCTCGCTCTCCCGCGTAAATGTCTCAGCCAATCACCAATATCATAAAGGTGGGCCCCCGGCCCATATAGTGTCAACATAAATTCAAATTTTAAATAAATGAAAAATCTATTTTTCCAAGTTGGAGCGTCCTTTTCAGTGGCCCACCAGGCCGTCCAAGCGCCGACCATGCGTCGCACCCACAAGCTTAGGGCCTGGCTTAACTCTCCAATTTCGGCGCGACAAATAAAAATGGAAGGGAATTTTCGTAAATGCCCCTCTTCTTTTGACATAAAATAAATACGGCACTCTTTAAGTCATAAGTGTAATAAATATCTGTCGGTCTATTGAAATAAATTATGTGAATGAGAATTAAGGGTGAAATGAGACAAAGAAAAAGTGATATCACCGACCATTGTATTGCCTCTCGCTTTCATTGCCACCCACCACTCATTTTTACCATCATTTTCTCATAAAACCAATTGAAAAATGAATCTCGATCTCATTCATTCAATTTTTTTTCCATAATTAATATTTTTTAAAACATAATAGAATGTCTTTGTCTTTGAGTTGGTATTTTACTTTTAAAATGTTTTTAAGGTTATAATGAAGATAATTATTTGATTTTTTTTTAATGTTATATATATAGAGAGGTATTATAAGCAATGACATGAAAAGATAATGTTTTTCGACACTAATATATCTGCCCGTTAAAGATTGCTCAAACACCTGAAAGTGGTTTTTTTTTTTTTTTCCTATTGGACCATCGAGTTTTGTCAATAAATTCAAACTTTGTCAATAAAAGCTTGGATTTTGTCGCTGAAGCCATTCAACCCTTCGATTGATTTATAACGAACCAACGAGCCTTCCTCATTTGGAAAATAAATATATTCCTACTCTTTTAGCTATACCATTTAGGAGTGTAATAACTTCAATAAGCGGATAGAGCCAACCAGGTTCGAAAACTCTTTTACATCAAAATTAAATATAGTTAATATATATTTCATTTAGGTAATGTTCCATAACAATAAACACATTGAATTAAACCGACATAAATATATTAGAAAAAAAGAAATGAGGCAGTGAAAAATAAAATGTAAAACGACAAAGATTCGCAAGTAACAACGACCAACCAGAGACAGCCAATAGCAAATGCCACCGTGGCTTTAACATGTTTGGTTCCCTTCATATTGACATTATCAATTGCCCCTTTTTATCCGGCCTTTTTTTCATTTTTATATCTTCAATATTATATATATATATATAAAGCAACTAAATTCTCAATAATTTCAAGTTTGTATTGATATGCAGAGGGATTTACGTCTGTCTTCGACTTTCTTTCAATCTACATCGATCAAGTGAGATATTCTTTACTAAAAGTCGTCAAAGGAGGAACAAACATATGCTAGTTCAATAAGTTTAGGAAAAACAATCATTGCTTGGTTTTAATACTTGCGATCCAACATATCAAAATTTTATGTAAAGGTCATATATTACCGCCTCAATCAACATAACTACTCATATTTTCTTTTTAAAATCTAACATGGAAACTGTACTCCTAGAAAATCCTAGATATCGAGTTCCCTGTGTAGGTTGGACATGTTTAGATGTTCGTACTCTCAACAAGCTGCTAGTACTAGTCAGGATCATGAAACTATCACTCGAAAAGTAAGCAGATTAGTCTCTATTTAATCACAAGAACAATAGTTCTTATTAGATCTGGGGTGACCAACCTGAAGATTATCTAAAATTAATAAAATATGTGTTTTTATAAAACGACTATGCAAATTAAAATACTAACTAAATTTGAACATTTACACGTCCTTAACTTAATTTAAAATGTTAATAATAAAAACAAATGATTTAAAATTTATGAAGCTAAATATATTTTAAAGCACTTAAATTTACAACATTTACCCCACATTTTAATTTTCAATATTGACATATTCTAGAATTCTCTACGCCCTTTCCCCTCAGCCATAAAGCAAACTTATAACAATAATAATAATAATAAATGTCATTTTCAAGATAATATCATTACACGCCGTACCCATTTATGGGATCTTATCTCTTTCCACTTTGAAGCTTTACCATATCACTCATTTAAATAATAAAAAAAAAGTACTTTCATTACGTGGCACAAATCAAACCATACAACTCTAATTCTATATTATAGTATTAACGATAAGAAATAGAACTGGAATGGAACGTGTGTATTCTCATTAATGTTCATAACATTTAAATAGAATACAACCTACTAACCAATACTTATTAAGAAAAAATATAAACTAACTAAACATTATTTTAAATTAATAATGCAAATAAACAAATTTTTAGAAATAAATTATTCAAATAAAATGTTTGTATTTTAATTTTTTTTCATTATTTTGTTGTTAATTGTTTAATGGATAGATAAAACTACTTCAAAATAAATGGTTAGAATATGAGCTTTTATTAATGGTTAGAATATATATTTATATAATTATATTTAATTGTTCCAAAGTGACACGCAAGTTAAAATTTCAGTCCTTCATACTCAAAATTCAAATTTCAAGTTTTCGTCCCTCACGTCACGATTTTTATAGCTATCCTTATCCGATAATTTAGCGGATGTCAAATATAGTTCATTTTCGTTGAATTTCATGTATTATTTATTGCTTTTAAAACTATTATTAAAATTAAAAATATTTAAAATTTATAATCGTAACTTAACAACTCAATGTAACTCAATCCGAAAATAAAAATGTTGAGTTAAATTAAATTAGATGGTTGTGAACTCTATTTAAGTTAATTAAATTACTAATCCAACAAATTTATATTTAATATGTATGCTTATAATCTAAAAGTATTTGATATGTTACATAAAAGATAAATTTTATCGTTTAAGTTTATATACATCTAGAGTTTATGGTTAAATTGTCAATGAAATCACAACCTTTAAACTTCATATTATCAACCTAATCAGATATGATATGAATACTTTAAACGCAATATATATATATATATATATAAATGATGAAATTTAATATTTATAAATAAATAAAAAAAGACTTGTCGTGCCATCGTGACATTGAATGAAAATTATAATATGATTAGTCGAAAATGATTTATCATTTTTTTAGAACAGAAAATGATATATAATTGAAGTTTAATGAAGTTGATACTTATCGCCTGGGGTGGGATCGTTTACAATGTTTTGTTACTAAACAAAAAGAAAAATAAATAAATAAAATAAAATAGAGAGAGGGCGAAGAACATCCAAGGGAATATTCTAATATATAATAATATTTTTGGGTTTTTTAAAGATATTTTTCTGGTTATTTTGGACGTTAGTTTGTCCTATTGCTTTCGCATTAATAAATTTATTTTATTTTCAAATTAGACGCATAGGCTATAACATTAATACGACTTTATTTTTAATATAAGCTTTAAAATTTGTCCTATTCGAATAATTAAGAGAAATTAATTTTAATTTTTTTTAATTTCCTGTTTAGCTCCGTTGGGGGATCGATCCCTTTCAAAAAACCAATTTTAAAAAATTGGTATTTGATATTATTAAATATCATCCCGTCTTAAATTATCCAAAGATTCCATTAAGATAAGTTAGATAACTATTCACAGATAATCCACTAATAAAAATTTAAATTATTTAAACAAATTTAATGGTAGACTTTGTGATTTAATATGGTACCTAAACCACTTATTATATTAACTAATTTACAATTAATCAAATCGCTTCATACTTATATTTTAAAATGAAAATAATTATGAGTCGATTACATCTTATTTATATTAATAATTAGAAATAAATAGTAAAAATTTAGCATAAATGGTAATAAATAGAGAGTTTAAAATGTCAGTACTCAAAATCAATAGAGTTACCTTAAAAGGTATATTTACAATGAATATTTTCAAATTTTGAGTAAATAAGGTGTCATAATAATATTTGTAAATATTAAATTTGTTTTGATTTAGACTCTAAAACAAAATAAGGAAATAAGATAAAGTAATTCTAAGATATTAATTATTTGAAACGAGTTTTTATGATTTACAATTAATTAGTTAATTAATTGATAGCCTTCCAAAACAAGAAATTTTTTTCTTGAAATTCAAATTTTGAGATTATATATATATTATTTATTTATTTATTTGTATTAATAATAGCCAAGAAAAAAAAAAGAAGGAAAATGGAGAAATAATTGAACGTGGGAAGTGGATTCGATGTCTCCAAAGAACAAGCGAAAGCAGACGAAATCCACATCATTTGCACGTTACGT